AAAAACTGTGAATCACTATACTGTACACCTGTAACTTATTATTGTACATCAACTATACTCCAATAAAAAATAAAATTGAAAAATGCTCGACAAACTAAAATCTGTAAAATAAAATAACACAGATAAGCTAACGTTGAGACAAAAATATCTTTGCTTTAATATTCTTAAATATAAGAATATTTCTTCCTCCAAGAGTCTCAAAGCAGTTCTGTTAAGTGTCTAATTCTAGTTGGCCTAAGACCAACAGTCAGAGGTGAATCTGGGTGATATCATGGAATCTCATGATTGAAGATCAGTTTTCTTTCTAGTTTCAGGTGCTAAATCTACATAGGTTAATTGAAAATGCAGTGCCTAACTTTTTGTTCATTGTTTTCCTAACCAGGAAACCGTCCTCATACTAGATTTGCGTGATTCCCCTACATAGCTCCAGAAGGAATAATCAGCTGTGTTGGCACCATTCCCTCGTTTTCTGGAAATTTTACTCAGACATTAAATCCCTTCCTGGTTGGGACTGATAACATTGAAGGTAATAGGTATCTATACACACACACCCCTATTCTATCTCAGAACTCAGACATTCTATCAGAGTGCATACATCAATACTCTGAGAGGTACTGAATAAAGGTTTTATAAAGAAAAATTCTAGCTAACTTTTTTGGAGTGCTTTTTATGTGCCAGATACTATAGTTAGTTCTTTCTGAAAGTCTGATTGATTGATTTATCCTTGGCTGCACGGGGTCTTCATCACTGCCCACAGGGTTTCTCTAGGTGCAGTGCGTGGAGGCTACTGTTCGTCGTGGTACAAAGGTTTCTCACTGTGTTGGCACTCTTGTTGCGGAGCATGGGCTCCAGGGCGTGCGACCTTCAGTAATTGGGGCACATGGACTTAGTTGCCCTGAGGCGTGTAGAATCCCCACAGTGGGGATCAAATGCATGTCCCCTGCATTGGCAGGCAGACTCCCGACCACTGGACCACCAAGAATGTCCCTATTACACATTCTTTACAACATGTGTAAGTTACGATTCAATCAGAGAAGCAGAACCTGTAGGAGATATATACTAAGAGATTAATTGCAAGGACTTGACTACTATAATAGTGAAGACTGACTAGGCAAGTCTAAAATCTGTAGTGCAGGCTGTCAAGAAAGGTAGGCTTAAACTCACTGGGGCTGAAACTGCCGTTCACAGATGGAGTTTCCTTTTGAGGAAACCTCAGTTCTGCTCTGAAGGCCCTTCAACTAATTGAACCTGATTATCTAGGATCATCTCCCTTAGATAAAGACAATTGATTATCGACTTTACTCACATCTACCAGATACCTTCACAGCCTCACCAAGATCAGTGTTTGATTAAGTAACTGGGGACTCTAACCAAGCCAAATGGACACATCAAAACGACCACCCCACGTGGGTAATCTCATTTCCTCCTAACAACAAATCATGTGAAGTCTTTTCCTTTATTATCATATACATTCTACAGAGTGGAAAAGTGAAGCTGGAAAAAGTTAATTAGCTTACTCAAGATCACAAAACTACCAAGTGGAATAGCCATTACGTGAATCCACAGACCTGTTTCCAAGATTGCAAACTTAAGTAATTGAATAGTACTATGTCCAAACCAGTGAATAAATCATTGTAATTCTATTCCTCTAAGTCTGTACAAAGGACTTGAATCAGTGTTTTATATATATATTTGAATGTTACCACCATCTTTAGACATTCTGATACTAAGATAGTCAACACAGTCTTCTGGGCAAATTTTTAATGCAAATTAGAGAATCTCAAATATTAGTCCTTTCTAATAAAAAATAGATGTTCTTAAATAATTAGTTTATGTCAGAAAGGTTGCATTCCTGATGACCTGTAATGGAATGAATGCTTTACATTCCAGTGGGGATACAGGGAGTTTAGAAATTGGTACTATAAGAGTTTTTCCTAAATTGTCTCATTTTTCAAGAAACAATATATCACTTAATATAACCAGAGTATTAAAAAGAAGATATAGATACCCTCCAAGTTAAAGAACACTAGGTTATATATCATTCAGATTTTAAATAACATAAACTGGAACTTGACTGACTTTTAGCAAAAAATAAAATAACTGAAGGAAAAAATAATTCTGACATTGAATATCCTGGGGCACTATAGTATCATGGTAAGTGATACAAATGTCAAGAATTCATGGGTTTGCTCTGCTTCTAATTAGATTAGATCCTTGGGCAAGTGAATTAAACATTCTAAGTATCAATTTCCTTTTCTACAATATGAGAGAGTTTCGGAAGAGGATCTCTTACATCCTTTATGCTAGTCTAGAACATAAAAATGTCTAAAATTTCAACTGTAAGTAGGGCTATTTAGTGCCAAAGAGTAAAAAGTCATTCTTCTGTGAATTATTTAATGTTTTTACCCCAACCAGTAGGAGATTACACTGAAAAGACCTTTATGTTTTAATACCCATATCTGGAGGTCATGGCCAAATTTCATTACTGCCGTGCTGAAGTTAATTTCCAGGACTATAGCATTTAATATGTGATATGATTATGCTGAATGGAGCATCAGCGACAGCCACTCTGGACAGCAACTTTCCCTCCCAGCTCCCTCAAGAAGACTTTTCATTAGTCAAGCACAAACGCTGACAGAAAATTCGATTTCCATCATTCTCTAGAGGTGTTTCAGACACAAGATGGCCTACAGCCCCAAATTATTCTAGAGTGCAGAGGATTCGACACAACACAAACATGATAGCATGATTCCTTTCCAAAAAGCCTGCAGTTCACTGCTAACAAATGACATCTCTGAGCAAGCCCGATGCTGTTACCAGAGCACGATACTGAGAAGAGGATGATGCCCTGGGAAATGTCACTCTGTGATCATTTGCAAGATTGAGAAACCAAGAAAGCACCTACTCCACCTCAAGTCACATGTGTCTCAATTGCAGAGTGAGAAACAGAACTAAATGGCCTGACTTCCAAACCCATCAAAAGTTTGCTGATCTCAGAAAACAGACATTTGAAGATGCCCCAGGCAAGGAGGCAGGTCATGTTCAGTAAAGAGTATACCAGTCAGGAAGGCAGCTGTTTTCAACCTGTTTTACCTTCTGTAGGTAGGAGACATTACAGTCAAAAAGCTTCATGAACCCTTTATGGAAATGAGAAACAGTTTCCATATGACTATGGATACTGACAGGCATGAGTTTCTATCCTAACCCCATCCTTTGCTAGTGGGGTGACTTCAGAGAATACTGTGCCTGAACTTCACCAAGGCAGAAAATGTGGTGGTTTAGTCACTAAGTCATGTCTGACTCTTGCGACCCCATGAACTGTAGCCTGCCAGGCTTTTCTGTCAATGGGATTCTCCTAGCAAGAATACTGGAGTGGGTTACCATTTCCTTCTCCAGGGAATCTTCCTGACCCCAGGAATTGAACCTGGGTCTCCTGCATTGCAGGCAGGTTCTTTACCAACTGAGCTATGAGAGAAGCCCAAAATGACATGACAGTAAACAAAACAGTGTGCATCTCGTGTTTCTTGTTTAACAAAGTGGATGTTGTCCTATACCTCCTAGCTGCAGATCTCTCTAAGCCTTTCTTTTTCACTGGTAAAGCAAGAATAATAATAAAACTTACCTCACAGAGCTGTGAGAATTCAAGGAGACAACTCACAGATACCCAGCAAATAAGTGCTTCGTAGCAAAGAGTCAGACACAACTGAGCATGCGTGCACAAACATTACTTATCTTAAAAATTGGTTAACGTTTACAAATTAACATTTCTGTTTCAGTGTGACGTTTTGCAATGATCAAAATCATTGTTCTCTGGTTTTAAGATGAAAAACGGATACTCAAAAAGTATAGAAAGTAAATGTGCCCTGAACAACAGGCTGATCATGAGAACTGTTTCTGGAGTTCATCATAATGTCATACATTTCCTTAAGTATTTTATCTTAAAGTTTCTTCATTCCAACCTATTTTCTACAGACTGTTTGGGTGCTGTTACCCTGTGATCAGACATTAGTTATCCTCTGTGTGAATCCGTGGTTCATATCCCAGACTAAGCGGGATCACGGTTTTGGATAGAACGGTTGAAACAACAAGGAACTGAAGAGTGCGGGTTGCCAGATATGTTCATTCAGATGTTACGGTATTAAGCAGTCTGTAAGCCACATATTATTTTTATTTATTATGGCAGGGAAACACCGTTGGCGTTAATATATTCATTTAATTGGCAAAATTTTGAAAGGAAACCTTTGCCAAAGGAAGTTTCCACGAGTGTTGGAAACAGTACAATGGTAACTTTTGTGGCAACTAGGGGTGGGGGTAAGGGGTGTTTGAACGGTGTCAAAATCTTACTCAAAGTCTTAACCGTGCCCCTCCGAGTCTACCGGGGGCCGACCCCTGCCCTCTGAGTGGGAACGCTGGTCGCTCGGGGTGATGGCACCACCAGCCACACAAGCTGGGCTGCGGCTCCTCCTGCGTCGTGAACTAGCTTGGCGAGTGGGAGGACACTCGAGGTGGCCTCGCGGACCGAGCAGGACCTGCCTTCTCCCCTCTCCTCCTCCTCCTCTCCCCGGCGGCGGTGACGGCGGCAGTGGCGGCTGCCGGTCACCCGGGCGCCTGCGGAGCTGCCTGGCTGCCTCTGCGGCGGCCTCTGGGAGCGCGAGGAGGGGGCGGCGAAGAGCGAGATATCCATAGTAACACAGGATGCGCCGGGCTCCGAGCGGGAGCGAGTGCGGTGGGAGGAAGCCCCCGCGCGCTGGCAGCCGGCGGAGCTAGGCACTCCGCAGCCCCCGCGCGCCGTGCCCGAGCCCGCGGCGCTCTCGCACTTACGGTCCGCCTGAGCGGTAAGTCCTCCCGGGAACTAAGCCGACACCTCCCACCCGCCCCGGCCACCCACCCCGGGTAAGCCACCGCAGAACAATAGAGAGCGCAGCCGGCCGCCCTGGAGACCGCGCTCGGGGGAGGACTCCACATGTCCGCGTCCTCGGGCGCCGGAGCCCGCCAGCCCTCGCAGATCCCGGCTCGCTGCCAGCCCGCGGCCACTGCCGTCGCTAGTGCCGAGCGGCTCGGGTGAGTAGCGGCGTGGCTGCCGGCGGCGTGGGGCACGGTTACCCCGCGGTCCGCGGCCCCCGCTCGCCAAGATGCGGTGGCGAGCAGTGGCGATGCGGCTGGGGCAGGAGGAAAAAGGGAAGCCGGGTCGGAAAATCCAAAAAGGCTGCGAAGAGGGTTTGTCGGGGCATTTGTTGCAGTCAGGCTGGCTGTCTCCACTGTGGGCTTTAAAAAAAAAAAAAAAAAACAACGTGGTTTGGTTATTGCTTTCCCCCTCTCGGGTTGAGCGCATTTCCCCTTTCCTTTCCTCACATTCTCGGTTGCGGAGTTTGAAAATGGTAAATTGCCGGATGTCTTTCCAAATGACTTGACTTTCACGAGTAGATATTTTCCAAAGGTCATTTGTCTTCAGTATCAAAAAGCCACACCAAGCCATGTAATTTCCAGGTGCGCTTTGAATCACCTTTCAGCAGTAGCAGGAAGAATAGACGCTGGGAGGGTTGGTGTGGAGCGTGCCCGCTCTCATATTTTTATACACTGGTTAATCAGAGGGGAAAGTGGGTTTGGACTTTCCAATGCTGCGCTTCGGAGAGCTGTATTAGACGGCAGTTTGCAGCTTTCATGAAGGTCGGATCAACATTTCCTTTGAAATCCCGATTTGCATGGTTGTAACTTGGATGTAATTTTACTCCAGGCTAAAACTTGCCAAAGGCAAACAAGGTGTTGTTTTTATAAGGATGCTGCCAGCGCTGCGTTTTTTTCTTTTTTGTTTTTTCTCCTCCAAGAAAACCAACCATATACAAACATGAGCCCCTCTAACAAATGGGCAGCTCAGGAAGGCTTTGCATTTTCAGAGACTGGCCAGGAAGGCTAGTCCTCACTGCGGCGACCATCTCCTGCCTTAGCGACTGAAATGTTAGTTTCAGGAGGCTAAAAATTCTGCACCCCAGCTGCAGAGATGCACCCAGCATGTTGTATGCGTAGATTGAAGGCATGTGAACTTTGGAGTCCTTAACGATTCTTAAGGACTTTCTAGATCAGGACATTTGCTATATGGGCTCTAGCATCTGGAAAAACAGAAATAGAGGAAAGACTGTTGGGAAGGCAACATGAAGAATTTAGGTACAACTTAAAGACTTTTCTCAGCATTGACACAAGTTACCAAAGGAGTCTTACAGACTTTACATTAGGGTAGATTCACATCGAAGTTTGGAGCCAGTTCTGAGCTGGTTTGGAACCCAAAGGCAGAGAGAAAAGATTAGAAAACCTCCCAACGTTCCTTCCAAAACCTGCGTTCTTTGTAGTCAGCATATGAGCTTGGGCCAGGAGATGCCAACGGTGTCTGGGTTATCTGAGTCCATGGTGTTGATGGCTCTGTGACAAAATGGGCTCTAATGACTGGTGTGGACCGTTGTTCCACTGTAAAGCTTTTTTCAGAAGTGTTCCTTTCTCTCATTCCACCCAGTCAGTCCTGAATAGTGCTTGATATGATACAGTGATTCTCCCGGAACTCAGATGGAAGAGAAAGGAGTAACTGGTACAAATGAAATTGAAACAGATGCCTGCTACCCAGGAAGACTTTGCAACTTGTCATTTAGAAAAACATTGTTACAAAGACATTTTAACTCCAGAATGCAGGGGGGGTGGAATATGATGTTGGATAAAAGCAGTGAGGAGTCAGCTCTCTTTGTTCAAGGATAGAAACTTTCTCCTGCAGTTGCTAATTGCCGAAACTTAATTTTACTGCATTAGAGTTACTTTGTTTGATGTACTTTGGCACTTTTAGTGAAGTAATATTTTTTTTCTTAACCAGTAACAATAGAGAGATAATATGTCTGTGTATTAGGATTGAGAGACTGTATATTGCTACAGTTCCCCTAAGGGAGGGCAGAGAAAGAATAAAATACCTTGCCTCTGTGAGGAGAGCAAAGCTCCATTAAAATAGTTTTGAAATATAGATCCAGCATGGTACAATATCTAGTAAGATACTTGGGCATATATAGTTTTTAACAAAACCTTGTAGGTGCATTTATTTATTTGCATTTTAAAATTATAATCACTGGACAGTTATTATCAATTTAAAAGTTGGCAGTTTTAACCAAGTGTGTATGCAAGTGTTGTATTCTGATACATTTTTTATCTTTTAATTTACTGCATGTGGTACAATTGGTCTGAAATGTAAGGAATGATTTTCTTTAAAATAGTAGCATTTGTTTGAGGTTACTATATATATTCTAAGTAGAGTAAATTAGCAGGCATTGTTCAGGAAAAGCAAATAATCATTTGTGATGTTACTGTCTTCCTAAATGTTGGCAGATGTTTACCAACTTACTATTAAGTCATTTTTATTGCATCATTTACTGAATAAGTCTTTTTGACCACCTTGTGTTTTGAAGCAGGTTTATCCTTTCTCTAAAAATGGAAGGCAGACATGTTCTCTCAATATTATACTGAAATAAATGTTTTGGCATTGTCAGTATTTATAGCATTGGCAGAGTCTGTAGAAACACTGGGTAGAGTTTACTGATGTCCCTATTTCTGACCAGATGCTAATGTCAACATATGTCACGTTAATATCCATCAAGCCAGCTAATGTCCCAGGAGGAATGAACAATTAGAAAAATTAATTAGGAGATCTGCTTGATTAAAGTCATTAATGGTCATGAGTAAAACATTTGTATTGCCATAGGTATGTTGATTTTTATACATTTTGGACTTAGAATAGTAATTCAGATTTAGTATTTACAAGTGCCACTGCCAGAAATCAATGTACAAGGTCCTCATTAAGCCACCAGTAATTAACAGAAGTGTGAACCAAATCCAAATTTATTAATTGGTTACCCATTTTTTTCCTTTCATAGACAATAGCCAGTACAAAGCATAAATGTTTGCCATGAAATTTAATAGCAGTGAATATCAATAAGCCTTGGAAAAAGTGTTGCACATATATTTCTTTGAGTGAGAGATTACATTAGCCATGATGTCTTTACTCTTGTATTAATATTTAATTTCTTTAAAATGATTATTTTCAAAGTGCAGCACTGTCAATATATTTAATAATTTGCTTGAGAAAGAACATTTACATGAGTGCATTTATCTTCCTACACATCTGTCAATAATGCATTGTTCCAGAAATCTATTTTTATGTAGATGGAATTTTCATGTAAAAATTAACCTTTCTTATGATTCCAGTGTGAGATGAAAACCATCCTTGTTAATCTGATTTTTGCTTTCTCTTCATGAAATCATAAGATGGTTTTTTTTAGAAGTCAAAATATGATTAAGCTGAGTCATTTTTTTCTTTAAAAAATTATGAGAATAACGTCTTTAGATGAAAATCCAATATCAATTCCCTTAAAACTTTTGTTTAAGCAGTACCTCTTGATTCTGGTATTTACAGAGCTAAGATTTACTGGTAGTTTTCTCATATGGGAATAGGAAGACATGCAAAGAAGAGCAGCAATACAAAATTTTAACTAGAAGAAGCAAAAATGCATGTTCTGATATCCTCTGTTACTAAATGTTTCATAGTGTGTTTTTAGGTGAATCTGAAAACAGGATTGTTCTATAAATGGCTTTTATGGATACATCTCTTCAGGGTTTGGAATTCATGTAACTAAACTGAAATTACAAACTTTGTAGGATTAACCACAAGAACATACTCTGGAAAAATCAGTGGCTGCATTGAGATTGTCCAGATACCCATGTTCCATGTCCCAAACCCTCTGTCACTATAGACAGACAGCTCTGAAGCCACGGAAATTAGTAGGCAACCCCAGCACAGTCTCAGCACTGCTTGGCCATGTGTAGCTCTCACAACACTCGTCAGGGTGAGGTTTTGTCATCATGTGAAAATTAAGACTCTTGGCAAGAGATAATAGTATTTTAAGACTATTGGAGCATCCTGTCATTTTAGCACATTTCAGTTGGAATGATTCTTCGGTAACCGTAAGTTTTATGGTCTGTTTTGGTTTCAATTAAGACTTGGACGTGACTTGCACGTAGTAGTAATTGCAACAGGTGGTATGTTTTGTGCTGTGTGATGTTTGCAGAAGACTTGCTTCCTGATGTTTAGAAATCATGACCACTGTGTAGATATTTTTCTGGAAATACAAAATGTGACTGTAAAAACAAGCTGCTTCTCTTTACCTCCGTGGTTCATTTTTTTTCAGAAAAGATGTGCAGGCCACTTGCAACACCTCTTGGCTCTTAATACATTTTTTGCTTTTCTATCTTAACTGTCAATTTAGGGTACAAATAATTGGTTCAAACTGTTTTCTGCTAACAAAGCTTTCTCTCTGGAGTGGAAGGTCTGGCACAGCCTCCTCAATATTTCCCAAGGCGTGGTTAGTCCTCCTGATGTGGGCGATGCTGTTTGTTTCACCCTACAGGTAGATTAGTCTTATAAACTTTTTGCCAAACCGAATTTGGTACAAAGTTTCAAATTAGAAATAAATAGTCCCTCTCAACTTTCAACATCATTTACACACTGGCAGTCCCTTCTTTTACCTACCCAGAACTATTCCAGACAGGAACCAAGCTGTCTTGGAAAATGAAAATGCCCAGTAGCTAACAGGAGAAACTGTTTTTTTCCCGTATTCTCCTAACCACGCCTCACTGACTTTTTCTCTCCTCTCATTCACTGCTGTTAGCTCAGATATCTTTTAAATCATACAACCTCTTTAATCCCTCTTGTTAGTTTTCTCTTTCCTAATACCTCCATAAAATCTATTTCCTCTTTTACATTTTTGATACAAACAGTGGCCCAACTCATGGCTGATAGGTATTCAGAGTGGGAACAGTGTGATATCTGTTATGAAAGGAGCCAAGTGCTATACATTTTAAAGTGGGTTATATGGATAAAACCCTGGACTGGAAAACCCTGCAGCCCTTAAAAATGATCTGAAGCCCCCTTCACAATATCCATAAATGTCTCCACTAATATGAAAGATGAATAATAATTATAATTTATTCATAGTAAATAAATTATTTCTTTTTAATTGTATATTATGCCAATGATA